CTAGGTGAGCAGCAGCTGCACCTCAGCCGCCATCAATTTTGTAGCCTCCTTTCCACACTTTTGAAGGCACATAATTTTCAAAAAGTATGCTGTGCCACTTGGTGTTTTGGGGGCATCCCCATACTCATGTGGTGGTCCACATACATCAAGCATAAGGACCAAAGCTCCCTACATGGAAGTTGCTGGCCAACCTTGGGTTTGCCAGGCAGAAGCTTCACTCATATTCGTCATTCCCTTGGTCTACTGGCTGGATTTCCAGTTGTCACTGCATAGACTTGAAATTTGCCTCCAAATATGGAGGGAACAATGAGACCAAAGAAAGAAGCAGGTAACTCCAGGGTAGTGTCAAAGGAGTTTATGAAGGGAGATTAACATATGAGGCATGTCCTGGGTGGCAGCAGGACCAATTTGATTCTCTGTGATGCCGAGTGGGAGTCAGGAGTTTTATGGCTAGGGTGATAGTGAACAATAGTGACTACATGCCTGGACTTCAGACTTACAAGACCACCCAGCAGGAGTTACATAAGAATCATTTAGCAAATGAGCTAGAGGGAAGCAGAATGTGAAGAGTGACCATGTTCAGCCTTCAAAAACTTATTTCCCATTCACTAATACATTGTCAATTTTGTGAGTATGCCATTTGTATTTAAAAAGCATATATAGCATGAGTTTATAGGGCACACATGTAGACATAGTAATTAATCATTCTTACATCTTTTATTGCTTTACTTTTTCCAATTTGGTCTGTTAATTTCTGAAAGTAGTAAGCTAAACTCTTTAATATCTTGTTAATTTGTCAGTTTCTATTAATTTTGGCTTATATTGACATTCTGTATTGTTAGGTGCATAAATGTTTAATAATTTTGTCTTGAATTCTATTGTGTGTAATATTTACATTGGTATTTCTGATTCCTTTTTACTGATATTTTCAGTATGTTGTTGTTATGTGCCGTCAAGTCAGACTCAACTCATAGCGACCCCTCCTTGGGTTTCCAAAGCAGTATCACTACGGAAGTAGGTTGCCCCATCTTCCTTCCAAGGAGTGGCTGGTGGGTTTGAACCACCAGCTTTCTGGTTAGCAGTCAAGTGCCTTTTAGCCACTATGCTACCAGAGCTCCCATTTTCAGTATAAATAACATAAAATACAAATATAAAGCATAATATCTATGTACCTATATATATTATTTTCTTGCTTTCTCTGATGTTTTTGGTGGTTGTTTTTAGTTTGTATCATATAAACAGTAGGTATTTGACTTTATTTCTTTGCTTTTTAACATGTTTTGAGATTTTATATTTTTAACAAGAATTTGGGCTCATCATAAACGTGATAATTTATATGATTTGTTATACTTCCTATTTACCATCATTTTTGTTGCGTGTGAAGCATTGACTTAATTAGGTACAGTTCTTGCCGTCCTATTTGTTATTGTGTAATGGGCAATATTTTAAATAATACCTTACTTATGAATATCACTTTATAGGTAGAGGACTTTGACATGTACTATCTCATTTTTTGTTCTTCAAAAATATTTTCCCAGAGAGATGTTTCTTATATTTGAAATAGTGAGGAAGTTAATAATATGGAGTTATAAAGTGGCAATTTTGGGTCTAGAACACATTTCTCAGTTTTTAAATACAGGTTTTCTTCACTTAAAGGAGCTCTGGTGTCTTAATGCCTAAGGTATTTGACTGCTAACCAAAAAGTTGATGGTTCAAACCCACCAGCCCCTCTGTGGAAGGAAGACTGGGCAATCTACTTCCATAAAGGTTTACCATCTCAGAAACCAAAATGGAGTTGCTATGAGTAGGAATCGACTTGATGGCAGTGAGTTTGGTTTTTTTTTTTTGGTTCATTCATCACTTAACAACTCTTTGGGCAATATCTGACGTTTGCGGTGCCATAAGATTATATATATATATATATTTATATACACACACACACACATGTATGGAAAGCAGTTATTGTTTTATTATTTTTTCCTAATGATTTTTAAAGACACTGTTCTGGTTACCTAGTACCGCTCTGACAAGAATATACCACAAATGGGATGGCCTTAACAAACAGTTTATTCTCACAATTTGGAGGCTTTAAGTCCAAGTTCAAATATCAGGCTCTAGGGGCTGGGTGAAAGCCCCTCAACCTTGGGGTCCAGCTCTGCCTCCTGCTCCCGACCCACTGGAGCTAGAGGCATTTCTTCACTCAGATAGCCTCTGGCTGCTGAGGCTGAGAAGCCCCAAGGTTGACAAGTAAAAAGGCACAGTCCCGATGTTACCAAACCACATGGCAGGCCATTAACTTAAGTCCATTGTAAGTCCCAATGTCGGCAGAGCATAGCAGGCTGCTGAGCAATGACATGGCTACATACAGGGTCCAAGTGTGCCATAGGCTAGAGACCATTCCCAAAGCTTCTCCTTATAGCAGAGTAGCTGTGTAGCTACTCCCGGTAGATTCCACCGTGGAGTTGATTACCAGTCTCATCATGAGGAATACTACATCCAGCTGCCCAGCCACTCAACCAGGCCTAGCCAATTTGACATACAAACATAACCATCACAGACACCAAACCCCCATGGTAAACAAGCAGCAGAGCTGCAGGGCACATCCCTATCCCCACAATTCCTTTCTCATCTCCTCCTTACTCTCCTTCTGGCTTCATTCACCCACCCAGCAGCCATGCGGCCTTTAACTCCTGGCCCGTGGCAGCTCCTGCTGTGGTTTTTCTGCTTCTCCCACAATTGCTGATAATGTCAGCTGTGCCTGGGGTATTCATAGGCTGCTGGACCCAGGTAATGGTGGCAGCGGCTGTACATAATCAAGAAGTAGCTGCACCAACAAAAGTGGCAGTGTCCAAAGCTGCCTCTCCCAGCCACTGTCCTGGCACTCACAACCTGCTCCCTGCCTAATCCCTGTGGCCACTTCTCTACAGCCCCTTTGTGACACCTCACCCTCCCACCCACACCTAGATATACACAAAGTCCCAAAGTGGCTGCTAGTGCAGTCCTCACCTGGCCCAGCTGCACGCCTGGCAAGGCTGGCTTCTTGTATCCGGTGGATACAGCTCTCAAGCTTTGTACGGTGGCCTTTCATAAGATTGTAATATAATAGACTTTATGAGGATTTAACTACCGATTGTATGGAGACTGTCTGTATATAATATGGTGATCACACAATGTCCAGATCTCATATTTGTCCTATTAAACAGAATATATCATGGACGTTAAGCAACAACACATGCCCGTATAGGATATAAAACTTCTATGTAGTTACTCAGGAAAAACTCAGTGGGACCCATTTAATTATATTTTAAGGTCATACTTATGGAGTTATCTTATATATAAAACTCTTTATACCAGTATTTATTTAGATTTTTCTTCATGTCTGATATTTTTTCTTACACTAGATACACAATTTCCAAATCAAACCTACTTTCTGCCTTCATGATGCTTTGACTTTCAGAAGGTAAACACTTTGGATATGGTTCAAAATGAAGACAGTTTTGTCTGAGAACATATATAAGAACATTCTTTCTGTCATGTTTTCTCTCCTTCCCTTTAAATGGATCACTTTTGGAGCCTCCCTTGTTATCTTACTTAGAAGTAATTTCTTCCAGAGGCTTGCTGACATCCTAGACCCCATTAGGTTCATTTGTTGTGTCTTGGAACATTACCCTGAACTTTCTTAAAATAAAATACAACTTACCCTCCTGGATTATTGGAGTGTTTGTTTTCTAGTGCACCTGTTTCATTCAGTTCTGTGTCCTTAGTAATGAGTACAGTGCCTGGAACACAATAAACCAAACTAAATCCAAACTCTTCAGTTGAGTCGATTCCAACTCATAGTGATCCCCATTGGATTTCCAAGTCTGTAAATATTTATGGAAGTAGATTGCCTCATCTTCCCTCTGTGTAGCAGCTGGTGGGTTTGAATTGCCAAGCTTCTGGTTAGCAATCAAATGCCTTAGGCACTGCACTACCAGAGCAGTGGAGTATAATAAGGGCTCAAGAAATACATGATGAATGAATGAATGGATTCTGACTTCTGCTGAATTCTCAGTGATTGCTGTCATGCAACAAAAGTCAGTCAATGAATGTGAACTGTTGTCACAAGAGCAATAACAAGGTTCTTAAATAAAACTTGTAATACTCCCACAGTTCAAGCCTGATAATAGGACACGAATGCTCATGGTTATTGGATTTTGCAGAAAAACTAAATGTTTCAGTGTTACAGATATTTCAGAATCTCTAATAAGAGAAGAAAAATTGGAAGAGCACCTCTGTGTAATTCTTTAAAATTCCATGTAGTGGATAATTTAAACAGAAAAAGCTTTAAGAAGCAATAGACAATTGTGGTTAAATTGAGCTTGAGATAATTAATATAGTAACATAAAAGGCTATCTTGGGATATTCCATTTAACTTAAATCTGGATTCATTGTCTTAGTTTATAATTTGTAAAGTATTGGTATTAATTTATAAAGTATATTTACCCAGATATTTTTAGAAATTCTTGAAACCCAAAAATTATTGTTTATGAATATAGTTATTAAAGTTTAAATAAGCCCAGTGATTAATTTTCCTAGTATGATCTATTTGTAGTATTTTCATCTCATAAAATAATCACAACCTCCATTTGCACTTAGAAAATACAAGATAAATTGGATTGTAATTGTATTTGTTAATTGTAATGTTTATTTATTTATTTTTTTAAGGTATGGGCATTATAGTCAATGAGGAAGAAATTAAACATTTAACAAATTATAGGCATGTGTGCCTTCTAATACATAGGCATGTTTAACATAAATCAGAATCAAGAAGTAAAGATAATGATTCATTTGTGGTTAAAAATAGGCAGGCAGGCATGCAACTGCATCCACTAAGCTATCCATCCCCTTGTCTTCTGTTTGCTTTGTTCAGAGGTAATGGTGACTTTGAAGTAGAAAAGTATTGATTCATCATGGTATAGCCAGAGGGATGTTAATACATTTTTCCTCTTTTCTTCTAGCATACTGATTTATGTCAGTACATGGACAAGCACCCTGGGGGACTGCATGCAGACAATGTAAAGGTAGGAGAAGGTCTTTTTATGCAAGAGTTAGCATCCATCATGTACACTTTTTGAACTGAAGACAACATCTCTACCATACTTTATTTTTATTTTTCATTCATACGTAAAGTGAATTAATATTGAAGTAACCCATAGCCGTTGTTTCAGTTTAGTGGCTGTAAATCTTACCTTGGCATTAAACATTATTTTCATTGGACTTTTTCTTATATTTTTTTCTTAATGGAAAACATTTGCATCAATATTGAGTGAGATCCAGTGGGATCCTATTTTAATATGATGTTAGTATAGGAAACGTTTCATACTAACTTAGAACTCCATACTGAAATACCAAACTGGTTTCAATATAAAGCATTGTTATGACTTCCAAATGAGTGTCATGGTTAGTTTCCAGTGTAAATATTTTCACTCATACATACAAACAGATAAAGTAGTTCTGTATTCCATTATACTTTTACTCAAAATTGGAACTATGTGTGTCAAAAAGAACTAAATTTTCCCAAGGTTTTACCTAGCAACCATCTTTGGAACTTGTCCCCAAGTTTTAAGCTTTAAACAGAAGACTCTTTCTTGCTGTATGTTGGGTAGTTCTAAAATACAAAAATTGTATCTGAAGGCTTCATGATTTGCTTACATTTTGTAATTCAAATGATTATATTTTATGACCCTGAGAACCAGTTATTATGAATTTATTGAAGTAAACTCATTAGTCTTCATTTTATGCCGTTCATAATCAACGCCACTCTTCGCAAAAACGTACTTTTTCTTTAATACTTTTCCCTCTGCTTATGCAAGTCTGTGTGAGCACATGATGCTGCATGTTTATAAAAATAATGTATGTACTATTGTATGACTTGTTCTTTTAATGGGCATCCTTTTAAATCAATATCTCACTATATATGTACCTCAATCTTCCTAGTCATTATTATCCCATATTACTAATTATATTATTATTATTCCATAGTGTGAGTAAACCATAGTTCTTTCAACTTTTAGTTATTCATGGACCTTTGGGCTGTTTCCAGAATGTTGCTATTTATTATAAGTGATTCTAGAGTAAATAGTAACATAAAATCTTTATATTTTTCTTGGATATTCTTATATTTTTCTTGGATATCTATTTAGTGGAATTCTTTCCTTAAGGAAGAGGTGTGATTTTAATTTTAATGTATTTGAGTGGACCATCTACCCAAAAGATTGTAGCTTCCGGTCCACTGGCTGTATATGAGAGGACTGTTTTCCTCTACTCTCACTAGCATTGACTATAATTAATCATTTTAACTTTTGCCATTCTGAAGAGTAAACATGGAATGTGTTTTCAGTGGGTGGTTTTCTTAACTACTAGTGGTACTGACCATCCTTTCATGTGTATCTTTACCATTTGTCATTTTTCTTTTAAAAGTTGCCTGTTCTTATATGTTGTCTATTTTTCTATATTGAGTTGATTTTCTTTTTCTTATTAAGGTCTAACAGCTTTTTAATATTTAGGGTGTTAATGCTTAGGGTTGTACATTAAAAACTAATTCTGTACAGAATATGTGTGACTTCTGACAAGATGATTTTTAAATAAATAATAGAATCAATATGGTACTCATATTCTTTGTTGATTTTTCATGTCTCTTGTGGTGGTTATTCTTTTTTGACAGGATTTTCTTAAATTTTTTGACCATTTTTCTTAAAAATCTGCACCATTTGAAATAAATAGTTTTTAAATAGTCAAATTGAGGATGTTGTTTTAACAGATAAAGTGACTTATTTTTTTGTTGTCCACATTCAGGTTTATCTTTAAGTATGAAATACCTTGAGAATAATTTTGTTTTTGTTTTTACATTAAAATTTCAGACAAATTGTCTCTTTTACACATTCATGTGTTCCTTTCATGGTGTTGTTTGGTTTGAAAACAAACAGTACAATTGACATCCTTGTTCTTTTTTCCCAGTTGAGAACTTTGGCTCTGAGGCGCCAAGGGAGATGCCATCCTTAGTGGAAATTAGCAGCTGTTTCACGCTAATTTTGACTTCCTGACTGTCAAATTCAGTGATTGGATAGAGTTTAAATGGCTGACTGAACTTTTCCCAAGGGCCGTGTAGTCACTGGATTTTTATTTTCCTTGTTTGGTTTTCTCACCAGCCCTCTTTGTATCATTAGTTCTGGGCAAGTGGTGATGAAAATTTTGTTGGTGAAACAAAGAAAATGCACTCTACAAATCATCTCTCTGCTCTCTGCTTTCAGATCAGCATCATAGGTGATTTTTGTACTATTTTAACTATAAATTCTGCTTTTCCCAGTGCATTTTATTTTTCTTTATCTCCTAATGATCTTAGGGTGATTGCCTTTTGAGTTGCTGTGTTTTTGTTTGTTTTGTTTTTTCAGTAACTAGGCTGTACTCTTTGTAACAGTGGTTCAATAGTTGTCATCTCAGCTTTTCTTTCATCCCATGACCTTTCATCATACTTCAGCTACTTAATGTCTGTAACCTATTCCAAGCCCAGGTTGCACTATAGCACAAAACAAAAGTCTAATACTGTAAGAGCTATTACCTTCTAGGACAGCATGAGAAACTTGGCGGTGAAGGAGAGGTGCAGGTGCAGTCAGCATAGAAATAATGTCCCAGGAATTAGGTGCAATGCCCGCAAGAAGTCTTGGTATTAGTCAGTAGAACAGACATCATTCCGTCTTGGAAGTTGTGTGACATGGTCTGGACAGATTGATGCACTATGGCATTTTTGCCTCTAAAAGTACATGATGTAATTTATCTATTCTCATATCTTTTTGAAAAACTGAATTGCAGTCTGATACATTGATCTATGTGTTTTCTGTTGTCCTCATAGCTAATGAGATCTTTTGCTCTTTGAGGGTTTTCCAAAGTGTATTAAACACCAAGTCACCTAGAAAGTGTTGAAATGTGTGTGTGTGTATGTGTGTGTGTGTGTAGAGAGAGAATATCTATTCTCCCCTCCCACAGTCAGAGCCAAATTTAAAATTTCTTTCAGTAGAAGAAGGGTGGACTTTGTTCACAATCAGGGTGGAGAGCCTTGGATGCCTCTTAAGATTGGGAAGTAGTCTCTCTCTCCCCGAGAGCCCGCCTAGCTCTTCCCTTGCCTCTACCAAACCAAACTCACTGCCATAGAGTCTAATCTGACTCATAGGGACCCCTCCTTGGGTTTCCGAGGCAATATCTCTGTGGAAGTAGATTGCCCAGTCTTCCTTCTAAGGAGTGGCTGGTGGGTTTGAACCTCCAGCCTTCTGGTTAGCAGTCAGATGCCTTAGGCACTGTGCACTAGCGCTCTTTTCCCTTGCCCAGAGGTACATAAATCACCATCATTATGGCCTGTTGTGCTCCTGCAGCTTGCAGTCTTCCAAGGCATTCTGAGGGACAAAGGTGACCTAGAGGACATCTTGTCCTGGGACTACCCATTCCTGGGTCTGCACCGCTGGGAGGAGGGTATGGGGCTATGGAGGGGTGAGGGTGGGCCATTCCAGAATAAGATGAAGACAGGTTGGCTGGGATGGAGAGGGCACTGTGGGTGCTATAATGGTTGAGTGTGAGGGGAGAAGGTGAGATCCAGGGCTTTTCAGAAAACAAGTGTCAAGTTCATGCCTCCAGTGAGAAGATTGGTGGGAGAGTCTTCTGTGAAGAATCTGATTAGTCCAAGAGAACAGACCTGAAGATTCCATGCCCGGTCTGCAGTGAAGACCCCAGTTGGTAAATAAGTGACTTGGAAGAAGCATAATTGCTTACATTGATAAAACAAGGAAAGATAGGGAAGAAAGCTTCAATATAAAAATCAAAACTATTATTAATACTCTCAGAGATGTAAAAGAAGAGATTGTAGCCATAAAATTAGAATGGTGTGTTACTCTGAAAAGCAGAATTTAATGAACAACAAAAAAAAAAGCCTCTTGTAAATTTAAAATATCCTATCAGAAATTAAGACAAACAACATTAAAAAAGAATGAAAGATAAAGGTGAAGAAATTTCCCAGAAAGCAGAGCAAAAAAGATAAAGATGAAACGTGGAAAAGATGGTATCAAAATATTAGAGTACCACTCCAGGGTTTCCAATATCTGAATAGTTGCAGAAAATACAGAAGTGAAAGTCAATAAATATATCATTAAATTATAATTTTCCAGATCTAAATGATGCAAGTTTCTAGGTTGAAAGAGTCTATTAAATATGCAGATAAATTATTGAAATAACACTGACAATAGTGTAGATCAGTGTGAAATTTTACGATACTGGGTTCAAAGAAACATCTACAAAAAGAAAAAAAAAAGGTGTTTTCTACAAAATATAAAGAATTACAGTGACATTAGATTTTCAGTATCAGTGTTAGAAGGGAGAAGGCAGTAGGGCAAAGACTTGAAAGTTCTGATGTGAAATGATTTCCCACCATGAATTCTACATTAAGACAAACTATCTATCAATGAAGTGTTGGGTAAAATTGTCATTTTCAGATGTGCAACGAGTTGAAAATTTTGCCTATCTTGCATGCTTTCTCAGGAAGCTATACAAGGATGCCCTCTACCAAAACCCAGGGAATAATCCAGTGAAGAGAAGACAAAGAAACAGGTAACAGAGTTCACCACAGGAGAGAAGTGGAGGATAATTCTCAGGATGATGGTGAAGAGGATGACATTTATTCTTCAGACTAGGAGAGCAACCTACCAGGACAGATAGAAACAAGTCAGCAGGCTCCATGAGAGACTTCCTCAAGAAGATGAATGATAAATAGAATACCTAACATATTTGTGTCCATTGAAAGGTGGGAGGAAAGAAAACAAAGCAAAGGGGGGAAAAAAAGATTAAATTGTTGCCAAGATAACTAATTGTTATGTAGGGAGGAAAAAAAAAAGTCATAGTGAACTTCATAGCACAGCTGTAAATAACATTTACATGATCATAATAATATGAGCACTGAATGGCGACCTAATTAACAGGAAAAAAACACATCTTTAAGTGATTCTGATGTAGCCAAGCCCATTTGAGGACCAGCATTCCA